CATTGCTTTCTCTCCTTCCCTCTAAGCACCATAGCCTAGCCCATATTGTTTATTCAATAAACATTTATGGAGCACCTGCTGTGTGCTGGGCCCCCTGCCAGCCTCCCTTTTAATGGGTGTAGTAAAAGGAAGGGGAATAGATTATTGCTCTGGAGTGAAGGTTCTCTCTTGCTGCTAGGTGTAGTATTTATTAGTTTAATAGCATACTAGGTTGCTAATTTTTAATTTAATCTTTTACAAACTACTGGAAACACCCTATGTCTAAAAATGACCAGGCAGAAGGATGGGAGTTGTTGAATCAAAATGAGGGAAATCTCCTCTACGCTTAGGCATTTCCCCGGCAGGTGTCTGACAGGGAAACAAAAGCGCAGAGCTGGAGGGATTCTAGAAAGGAAGCTGGGTTCGATGGAATTGGAGATCTTCCCGCGTCCTTCGGTTCTTGAAAAGGCTTCACGCACAGTGGACACGTGGTCGTGTTTGTAGGGAACTTACCCCAGAAGCTGTGCTTTTAGGAGGAGGGGAGGAAGGCAGGGAGCCCCTGAGCCAGTGCTATGTTTGAGGAAGCACTAATCCTGCCTGTGCCAGCCCCATACAAGGCGTTCTTCTGAGTTATCTAATTTAATTTTTCCAATATCCCGATGAAGTATAAATTCCATCGTTATCACCATTTACATTTGGTGATCGTATTAAAACTCAAAGAAATTAAGTCACCTGCCCAAAAATTCCCCCCCATGCTCCCCCAACCTTCCAGAAAGCAGCTGGCCTATTTGACTCCAAAGCCAGGATTTCCCCAGTGCACTCTGCTGCATCTCTCAGGAAAGTAATTTCTCCTCCCTGGATCTGCTCCCTCATCCCAAACATAAAGGAGTGAAATGAAATGCCCCTCATATCCATTTCTACCTGCATGGGTGCTTTATCCAACTGTTGACAAATTGGGGCCCATGGGTCAAATCCAGATAGCCCATTGGTTTTTTAAAAATCTTTGTTGTTGAAAAGTATTATATATGTCCCACTTATTCCCCCATCACCACCTTCCAATCCACCCCAGCTCCCTGTTCCAGTCTGGGTCCATGGATTGATTATGCATATGTTTACAAGGTCTTCAGTCCATTGTTTTTATAGAGTTTTATTGAAATACAGCCACACATATTCAGGTATGTATTATCTATAACAGCAGAATTAAGTACTTGTGCAAAAGACCGTATGGCACACAATGCCTAAAATATGTTACTATCTGGCACTTTATAGAAAAGGTTTGTCAACCCCTGGAATATATCAGTCTACAGGTGTTAATTGTGATAAACTATATATGGTAAACGGAAAAGAAGCTGGAGGGTCACATGTCAACAGCAAACAGTTGGGAGGGAGTAAGAAGGTGACTTCCATCCACTCTTTACATTTTTAAAAAATATATTTTATTGATTTTTCACAGAGAGGAAGGGAGAGAGATAGAGAGCCAGAAACGTCGATGAGAGAGAAACATCGACCAGCTGCCTCCTGCACACCCCCTACTGGGGATGTGACCGCAACCAATGTACATGCCCCTGACCGGAATCGAACCCGGGACCCCTCAGTCCACAGACCGACGCTCTACCACTGAGCCAAACCGGCTTCGGCCACTCTTTACATTTTACACTTTGGAATTATTACTTTAATTTACTCTTTACTAAATGATAACTTATAGCAACAAGCACAAACCCTAAATGGATAGCCTGATGATGTGCCCATTGTCCCAATCAACATATAGGACTTCCCTAGCACACCAGAAGGCCCCCTCATGACCCATCCGTCTCTATGAATACCCAGAAGCAACATCGGTTTTAACTTCTATCACCATGGATTAATTTTTCCTGCTTGTTAACGTTGTATAAATGAAATCACATAGCATACACCCTTTTGTGTCTAGGAAAGGTATTCTACAGCTTCCTTGCTGACAACTCAGAAAACTGAGAAGTACAAATAAGGAAACAAAAATGACCTTTATGGCATCATCCAGAAATAACCACTCAGCCTTTACATCAACAATTCCTTAAAATGTCCTGTGTCTTATTTTCCCATCTTTACAGTGAGGCTGCTCTATCAGTCCATCACCACCTATCCTATGTGAAGCATAAACGAAGAGTATTTCCACTGTCCTCTTGTTTCTTCTATGTGGGGGAAGTTTAACCAAAGGATTTTATGAGATAACCCATTTAGCTAGCATTTCCGGCTTACATCCTATAGGACTATCTGCTGGGATGCTTACACTTCCCACAGGAAGGGGTAGGTATTGGATCTGTTCAGGGATCTGTAGCTGCAGTTACTTTGTGAGCGCTCCTATTGCCCTAGGTGGCATACAGGAGGTCCACCTGGCCAGGGGGTTATGGGAAATCTGGGCTGGGTAGAACTAGATCACCTGCAAGACTATCTGGACCCTCATCAGGAAGTTTCCCTCTAATTAGTGAGACTTCCTGTATGTTCACATAGTTTGCTGGGGGGGGGGGGGGGGAGAATGGGTTTGCTGCCACCTGAATTTTGAGAGAGAAAGGAGCTTGAGAGTCAGGCTGGGCACGGAGCAACTGGAACTACAAATCAAAGTTCTGTTGTTAAAGGGGAAGTGATGGCTGGTTTTTTAATGGGTTTTCCAGCTAAACACAGAAACTGATCTTCATTACACTTGACTGCTTCTATCCTGATAGCAAGTGAGAGAGAGACAAAGAGCGTGTTCTCCAGGGACATTGACTCTGAACACTTCATTATCTTGGCTGAGGGGAGCTGGGTAGGCAGAGAATGTTCTCCCAGGGGGCCCAATTGGGAGGGAGAGGGCCTCCCATATGTCACAACAGACCAGAAGACAATAAGGTGAAATGAAGGAACCTCAATTCCATGAACTCACTGCCTTCCCCTTTCTCCGGGAGCGTCTGAGGTAGTGCAAATTTCCCCCAGGGCTCCAGGCACACAGCCGCCCCCCTGCTGTTTGGCTCCTAGCACTCGTGTGGCAGATTCTGTATTGGAAAGTGGCAGCCTCGGTCCTCAGCAGCCAGACTTGGATCAATGACACTGGGAGGACCCGCCTTCTCGCACCTAGATTTGACTCCGAATTTAGCAGATGGAGAGCTGTTGACCTTTCCTCCCCCACATCGAAATTCTTCTCTTCCTGAAACTAACCCCAACTTCCTCCTAATTACCTTGTTAAAAGTGGGAAAGGTAGGAGAATTTGCTGAGAAGCACCTTTGCCAATTCCCGGGGGAGTCTGAATTTTTGTCCCTAATCTCTTAGTCCCTCCAACCCCAGCGCTGGATCTGCTGGACTTTGAGAACCCTAAGCCTCCAGAGGGGCTAGGTTTGACTACTGGGAACTGGCTTCCCGCCTCCCAGGACTGCCAAGCATATCCGGCACCGGGGTTTTCGGGAAGTCTCCTCAATGCACACAAGCCCCCCTCACCCCCCTGCACTGCAGGTACCAGTATTTCACAGGTAAAACTGAGGCTTAAAGAGGGGAAAGGAATGTTCTCTGCCCCAGAAACTATGGATCTGTGATGAGTTGGATCCTAAAAAAAAAAACCCGACCGTTCCCCTCTTTTTTCTGCATTGTCTCAGTGGGGTGCTCTTGGGCCTCCGCCCTGCCCTGTGCACGCCCCAGGGAGATGCCGGTGAAATGTCTATGGCGCCCAAAGATTCCGGGCCTCTTATCTGGCCCAGACCGGGGTGGGAAAAACAAAACAAAACAAAACCAAAACAAAACAAAACGTATTTCTCTCTTGGACGCCATCTCCACGCGTGCCTCCTGCCTGCGCTGCAGTTGCGGCCTAGCCCCCAGGAGCCGCTCTGTCCCGGAGCTGCGAACAAACCAGAAGTCAGTGGGTCAGGGCGGGACACGCGGCCGTCCCCTGTCCGCCGGCTGCACGCGGCTGGAAAGGAGGCCCCCTCGTCCTATTAATTTTGCTCCGAAAGTGGAGGCGCTTTGATAGTTTGGGTTTAAACTGGAGAGCGTGGCCCGAGCGTCCAGGCCCCCCCCCCCCCACACACACACACAGCCGGGCCGGGCCTGGTGCGGGGCAGCCGGGCGGGGTAGAGCTTTGGCTGCCCCCCCTGACCACACATTATGCGCCTCCTTCCCGTTCGCCTACGCTCAGAGGCGACGTTTCTGCAAATCTAACCTGGCGGGCTGGGGGGGGGGGGGGCGGGCTAGAGAGAGGGGGAAGGGGTTGCAGAGTGCAACTAAACGAGGTCTCTGCAACCTGCACTCACCCCGCCTGCCCCCTCTGCCCCCTCTTCCCCCAGGTCCGGGCGTCCCTTCCCAAGCGCTCAGTATCTCCGCCCGCTGGCTCCCCCGGCCCTCCACTCCGGTGTCGGTTCGGACGCCTCGGAGCGACTCTTACTTCTTCCCTCCTCCTCCATCTCCTAAGTTGCAAGAACACCCCAACCCATCTTCCTCCAGCTCTCACCTGGGCCCCTGCAGCGCGGTTTTCTTCTCTCCGGCCTGGAGCCGGGCCCGCGGCCGGTGGCCGGTGGGAAAGCCCGGACGGAGCCTTCCATGCCGGGCTGCAAACGCCTGGCTTCGCGGGTCCAAAGGTCGGCTCCGGTTTGGCTGATAAACAGAACCGGTGCACCGAGGCCCTCAGCCCCCGGCGGGAGCGCCCTGGGCCCGGCCGGCCCCGCTCCCGCGCGGCTCCCCGGCTCCCCGCGTCTGCCCCTCGGGCTCGCCCGCTCGCGGTTTTCCCCCCTCCCCGCGGGCATTTGCATCTGGCCGAAAGCCGGCCCTCCCCGCTGATTTGCATATCTTATATGGCCTAATGGTGGCGATCATGGCCAGTTAGAAGTTCCTCTGACTTCTCGGAGGAGACTCCCGGGCCACCCCGGGGGAGCCACAGGTGTCTGAAGGCTGAAGGGTGGGGTGGGGGGGAGCTTCCTGGACTTGGGGTTCGTTTGTGAAACTCCCCACCACCCTCTTCTCTCGCACCGACATCCCCCCTTCTCCCTCCCCTTCTTTTTTTTTTTTTTTTTTTCTGTCCTTGGAAAATGGTGTCCAAGCTCACGTCGCTCCAGCAAGAACTCCTGAGCGCCCTGCTGAGCTCCGGCGTCTCCAAGGAGGTGCTGGTCCAGGCCCTGGAGGAACTGCTGCCGTCGCCGCCGAGCTTCGGGGTGAAGCTGGAGACCCTGCCCCTGTCCCCCGGAAGCGGCGCCGAACCCGACACCAAGCCGGTCTTCCACACGTTAACCAACGGCCACGCCGCCAAGGGCCGCCTGTCCGGGGACGAGGGCTCCGAGGACGGGGACGACTATGACACCCCCCCCATCCTCAAGGAGCTGCAGGCGCTCAACACGGAGGAGGCGGTGGAGCAGCGGGCGGAGGTGGACCGGATGCTCAGGTAGGTGCGGGCCAGGCGGGGGGTGCGCCTGAGCCCACCCTGAGCCGGGCCACCCAGAGAAGGGAGTCCCCGGCGGGGTGCCCCGCTTCTCTCCCCCACACCTGGACCCCTCCCAGCCTCTCCTCCCCGGGCCGGCCCGGAGCCCCGGGGTCTCCTATCCCCCGGCTCCCGCTACTGTCCGGCCGGAGGCGCCCTCCGGGCAGAGCAGGAGCTGGGCCTGCAGGAACCGAGCGGCGGGGCCCCTTGCTTTGCCTCAGAGCTGCCCGCGCACCTAAAGGGGCAAGTGGGTGCCATGGAGCAGCCGCGGGTCCCCGGGAGCACAGGCTCGGGCCCCGCGAGCCTCGCAGGCCACGCATTTCTCCGCCTCTGGGTGCAGGAAAGCGCAGGCCGCCTGCGGCCCCTGCCCCGGGCCCCGCGGGGCTCTGCAGAGGGGCCGGCTGCACCGGGCCGGGTCTGGAGGCGACTTCTCCCATTGGCACTCCCACTCCCACTCCCACTGGCAGAGCACCTGCTAGGCCCAGGATCATCCGGAATCCCCCTCCCCAAACAGGTGTAGGTTTGCAAAGGAAACGGGTTGACTGTGGCAGGACCCGCACTGGGCAAAGGAAAGCGCACGCAATTGAAGCACGGGAGCGGGAGGCCACGGCGGCTCACACCCCGGTTCGTAGCGGGCCTGGCCGCGGCTGGAGGAAGGAGGGCGTTTCTGGATCAAGGGAAGAACCTCAAACCCATGAACTGTAGCAAAGTATTTTTGGAAGGAAAAAAATCTAGAAATTCCCCTGACTGTCTTTGCTAGTTTCTGGATCTCGCCGGTGACATCCCGGCGGCGTCCCCGGGGGACCCAGGCGGCTGGCGGGCGGTCCGTCTCCCTGCCCGGGGTCTCCCTTTGCCGGGCCTCGGAGGCCGGCTTTGGGCGTTGACAGCTGGTTACTGATTGTTGAAGGAGCCGAGCGGGTCCCGTAGAGTGCAGGGCGCTCCCGGCCGCTTCGCCGAGGACCCAGCCCCTCCGCGGCCTCGGGCACCGGGGCGCCGCGGTTCCCAGTCCCGTCCTGCGCCCGGGCAGCGGCGGTTTGGGGTGGGATGCGACCTTGCATTTGAATTTGCTACCTGAGGACCCGCCAGTTTACTCTGTAGCAAAGACAGGAGAATTTCTGGATTATTTTTTTTCTTCCAAAAGTACTTTGCTACAATTCATGGGTTTGAGATTCTTCCCTAGTTTTCCCCGGTGCAGTGGCGGGTTCTTTCTCTCCCCACCGCCCCCAACTCCGAGGGTTCGGGGACAGGAAGGTGAGCCGGGTCGGGAGGAGGGACTGGGGGCGCCGGGGCGGTCTGGAGGTGGACCAGGGCCCGGCGGGGGAACAGCTCCCGCCGCTGCCGCCTGCCGCCCCGGCCCGCGGGGCCTAGGCCTCTCGGCCGGGCCGCGGACGCCCCCCTGCCAGCCAGCCGGGCTCCGGGGAAATCTGGGGGAGCCCGGGGCGCCCCTCCGCACCCAGCCCGGCGCGGGGCTGCACGCAGCACGGAGGTAACATAAACCGCAGCACGTGGAGTGAGGGCGTTATTAATTTATTCCTATAAATCATCAACAGAAAGATACACAAAGAGTCGTGATTAGGTTGAAAAGAGAGGCGGGTTATTCATTGGCGAAGCTGTAAACGCGGCTGGGAGAGGGAAGGAAAGCCACACGCGGGCGCGGGGCTTCGGGGCGCCCCGGCCAAGCCCCCCGCGCGGCGCCGCCTGCGCGTCCTCTGCGCTCCCGGAGCCCGGCTTCCGCGGGCGGGGACCCGGCCTGGGGGTGGGGGGGCTCAGACCCTCGCCGGGGTGCAGACCCAGGACAGACCCACGGTCTCCCCCCCACCCCCCAGTCCCGAGCTGCCGCTGCCTTTCCTCCCCCACCTCGGGAGTTGTCGGAGGACTTTATTAAAAGTAATTTTTCAAGAAATGGCTAACGGTTCCCATGGCACCGAGCACCAGGCACAAGCACTCCCCTTTGGGCTCACTCAGTCCCACTGAGGCGGGAAGAAAGGGGCAGGAAAGGTCACTTTTTGGAGCTCCTGCACGCGCCGCCCGGACAATCTTCTGGAAGGGGCTGTGCGGCCGCGGCTCCAGGTGGGGCGGCTCCGGGCGGCGGCGCGGGGTCCGGGGGTGCCGCTCGGGCCTGGGGGTGCCGCTCGGGCCGGGGGTGTTTGCTCGGAAAGGAGCGCGCGGGGCGGCGGTTGACACCTGCGCTGCGAGCACAATGGCCGCGCGCGCTTCCCCGGAGCCGTGCACTCATCGGGCTCAGGAACCCGGAATATTTCCAAATTTTAAAAAGTAACCGGTTCTCCGAGCTCTTCCCAGCGGAGAGGTGTACATTCTGGGGGCAGAACGCCGTAAAGGTGTAACTGCGCCATCTTAGCCCCGACTCCAGTCCTTCACTGCGGCTCACAGGTTTGCTCCCGTTCACGGGGTTTTCTTGGGCTTTTGTGTGTGTGTGTTTTTTTTAAACCTTCCCAATTGTTGAGCGAATTCACTCTTCCCACAGAACCTTTAGGTCTTAGAACATGACACCGTTTAGCTAGGTTTCTTAGACCCATCAAATGAACACAGGTGAAGAAATTCAAGCAAAACAAAAATAACCAAAAGAATCTGTTAAAGCAATAGTAATTGGAGCAAATGCTTTTTCTGACTTTAGCTATTGTTATTCCTATCTGCTGAAAGTGTTTTTCTTCCCTAAAAATATCGGTGGAAGTGCTCACCAGAAATAAGCTTTTAAGTTATCTCTGATAACACGGGTATGTCCAAAATGTTATGTTCTTTTTCTCGTACTGGAGGTGAATTCTCCATGTTTAAAACTGTACTTGCATTTTCTCATTTCTTTTTGTTCTTGTTATTACTTTATTGTACTGTATTAGTTGGAAGCAACCTTTTTTTCATTCTTGAGAAATTCATTAACTTATATTTAATCTTAAAAGTTTGCATTTCTCAAATACCTCTGTTCTCACGAATTTAATATCAAAGGACTGCTAACATAACCTGTTATTCAAATGCTTACAAACTATCCCCATTTAATTACTAGATTTTTAATTCATTAAACAAAACTTATTTGACATATTATAGGCACCATTTAGAAACAAATTGGTTATTTAATCTGCAACACCATATCTGTTTTGATCTCTACACGGTTTTTTTTAATTGTTTTATCTGAAACTAATTTTTCCCTTCATTTTTTTTTTCGTGTTCTATCAGGCTATTATACAGTAAAGGGATGTTGATTTTTTAAAAATTAAATATGTAGCTGCATTAAATAGTGTATGTGGATATATTGTTTCTTGTAACATTTTTTTCTATACTGTACATTGTTTTAAATGGTGTCTCTCAGTTTTAAGTCACCTATTTAACAAACAAGAAAAGATATTGACAAAGTTGATACTATTATGAATAAGTAAAATTCAAATGCATTAACACATCGTGTTAAAGAAGCCTTTTGCACCCCATTTCTCATTGTTTATGAGAAATGAAAATTATAAGTTTTTCTCTGAAGCTTGAAATTTAGGAAAAATTTTGCCTTTCCGATATTCTGACCCTGTTAGGGCAGAAATATCAGAATACAGGAAAACGAGGCATTGGCAAGAGATAATATCTTATTCAGAAATCAAAATTGTTTATTTCTCCCCATTAGGTTTTATTTGGGAGGCGTGGCTGTGGTGAAATTTATTTTTTAACTTTATGTGTTTGCCTCAATGGAGTGATTTTTCAATTCCAGGGAAGAATGTTGTTATACTTCTTAAAATGTTTCAAAAAATTGGAAAACCATTTCATATCTGGCTAAGACGTCCTCCTTGCATCTCAGGAGGTGGACATATATGTTTTACTCCTATTTTATAAGACAAGAAACTGAGACACCCAGCCAGAAGGAAAAATAATGTGTGAGAGGTCTAGGTAAATTGAGAAACTGATGCTACCCCCTATCCTGGTAGGATCATTCTGCCCAGCCCCATGCCTATGGCACCTCCACTTTCTGATTTAAGTCTCTCATTCCAGGCAAACGAAGGAAACCAAAATAAAATAGGATCTTTTCTTTCTGCCTAATGAGGGCTGGCTGTGCTTCCCCATTTTTGAAGACAGGAAGTCATCTCCATCTTTCCCCTCCTCATCGCAGGAGAAAGGGATGGAGTGTGCTGTATAGGCGCTCTCCTAGAGCACTCAACAGGTTCTGTTTTGGCCTCACCTCTTTCCCAAGGATGCAGCTAGGACAGGTGAAGAAACAGGTGAAGACCAGAGTTTTGCACAGAGTTTAGGTAAAACCCAGAGAAAGAGAACTATTTCTTCCACCCGCACCCTAACCACTTGTTTGTCTGTCTAGTGAGGACCCCTGGAGGGCTGCCAAGATGATCAAGGGCTACATGCAGCAGCACAACATCCCCCAGAGGGAGGTGGTCGATGTCACGGGCCTGAACCAGTCGCACCTCTCACAGCACCTCAACAAGGGCACCCCTATGAAGACCCAGAAGCGCGCCGCCCTGTACACCTGGTACGTCCGAAAGCAGCGCGAGATCCTCCGACGTAAGTGTTTTAATTCTGCTTCTGCCTCAACCTGGAGCGACCTTTGCCCTAACCCTGACCCCTGTGGGGGTGCCTCCATTCTCACCTCATCAAGAAAGCCTTCACCGAAACCGGTTTGGCTCAGTGGATAGAGCGTCTGGGTCTGCGGACTGAAAGGTCCCAGGTTGGATTCCGATCAAGGGCATGTACATTGGTTGCGGGCACATCCCTAATGGGGGGTGTGCAGGAGGCAGCTGGTGGATGATTCTCTCTCATCGACGTTTCTGACTCTCTATCTCTCCCTTCCTCTCTGTAAAATATCAATAATATATATTTCTAAAAAAAAAAAAAAAGAAAGAAAGAAAGCCTTCATAGCACTTGCTACGTATAATGAAGCTAGCAGGTGGATTGGGCCGTCCTAGTCGCTGTATGATGGATTAGCCTACAGCATTTTCTTCTTCCACGGTCCCTTTACTGCCCGGCCTGGTGTTTTGACAAGACCTTCAGTGTGTGCAATTTACCTTGAAATTTTTGGCCCCTGCTTCCAATGACTTTCTCTTAGAAACCAAGACTGTAACAGAGGAATATTACCCTCAAAGTAAGCAAAGCAGCTCCCCTTGACACAGATTAAAGTTCCCAAGGAAGACCTTTCATATTCGATCAATGATATTGATCGCTGTTACTGTTATTCCTTTCCCCTCTGGAAAAACGTATTTTTAAAAATAGACAGTATTTATATAAATAATACATCCAGAACTTGATCCTGTTTGTTGGTGGTGGTTTTTGTTTTTTGTTTTGGTGGATGTGGGGATGGTTACTGAGTTCTGAAGCAATTGAAGGCGCTACTCACATTGACTAGCATTGGTCATTTGGGGACCTCAGCTTGTAACCCTGTCTAATGAAGAACTGCTTCTCACTAAGGCAGGACTCAGTAAAAGTGTCTGTCTGCCTTTGGAACTCCGACCAATCAGTTCTTGTCATTCTCATTCCCAAATTTCCTCTCTGTCCCAAGATCTCTTTCATTCAATAATACTGAGAGATTTTGTTTTGAAGTCTAAGGAAGTTTGAATTTCATTTGAATAGCCAGATTATGAATAACATTTTTTTTTAATTTTAGGAAAATATACTTTTCTATTATTCTTTAATTATTTTTAAAATATGGTTTTATTGATTTTAGAGAGAGAGGAAAGGAGAGAGAGAGAGAGAGAGAAACATCCATGTGAGAAACATTGGCTGCCTCCCGCATGACCATGTATTGAGCCCCCAATCTGGGCATGTGCCCTGACCAGGAATCGAACCAGTAATGTTTCAGTGCATGGGACAACGCTGAGCCACACTGGCCAGAGCAATACTTTAATTATTTTGATCTTATACTTTTCCTAGGAAATTTTTGTATGAATTTTCAGTCTTCCACACATTGTCCCCTGGGCTGTGAGCTTGTCTGTCTTTGTCAAGGTATTAGTTTCCATCACTTTCTGGGTTAGTTTTACCCCCCTCTAGCTGGATGGCCACTTTTAAAAACCATTCTTGTTTTCTGACATACACTGCTCCAGAGTGATTAGTTCAGTACTATTGTCTCAATGTCTGGGGGCTGGAGAGGCTTTTATGATGGAAGGAAAAGTTTTTTAGACATTCATCTTACATTGTGGTCATTTGCTCTTTGGTTGGAGGCATTACATGGATAGATGACAAGCAGTAACGTGACAGCTCTTTGCTGTGTCGGAGAAGGGGCTCTGGGTTGGTCCATCCTCCGTGGTGACTAGTTTGGGAAAATTTTGGGTTTCTGACCTGAAGCAACTCTGTAATTCCGGAAAGTCCATTATTGGGGGCCAGGCCCCATGCAATAGCTTTAGCTTGAGCTGCCTCCCTGTGTTCAGTGGGTGTTCCCTCGGAAAGGAGAGGCAGGCCAACTGGGAGCTTCTAAAAAGATAAGAAATTCTAGAAACTGTCTCAAGATACTTAAGAAGCAGCATTTTACAAAAATGTATGATATTCTGCAGGGGAGTATTTACATTGTTGTTGTTCAAAGTCGAATGAGACCTAAAGCTTAAGAGCTTCAGAAACATTCTGAAAATACTATATGAGCTCCTGTGAGGTGCCAAGCACTGTGCTGGGCTTCGGGATACCCAGGATCTTTCCTCCAGAGACTTACAACCTAATGAAGGGACGAAATGTTTGAATAAATAATGACAACTGCCTCCTAAAGGCTGTTCTAATGGTATTACAAGGGACATTGGAGGAATTGCTAAAACTGGCTAGAGACATCCTGGAGGGCTTTCTGGAGGAGGTGACATTTGAACCAAAGTCTGACAGGTAAAAATTAGGAAGTGAGATAAATAAAAGAGGGACAGTGTGAATGGGGTGGGAGGAAGGAAAATGAGCTAGGATAATTTTTTAAAAAGTTATTACTTGATTACAAATTTTCTTGAGAAAATAATAAAGGGTAATATTCTTGGGCCCTTCTATGCATGTAGAATCTCCTCGTCCATGCCGGCCTCTGAGCCTATAAAGGATTTGCTGCACCCAGCTTCTCCAAATTAATTTTTATTAGCAGTGAACATTTTCTTTCTCTTCTTATTGCCTCATGCCCCGCACCCGTCCCCGCCCCCCATTAATCTGGAAAGAAGTGGATAGTTGGTGGTGGCTGGAAAACCTGGGAGAATCTTGTTCTTCAAAAACTGAGAGAGGTTAGGGCCAAGGCTCTGACGTAAATAGAGCCTGGATGTTACTGAGCGCCTACAGGCAAGTCAGCCTGGCTGAGCCTGAGTTCTGAGCCCCCTGCGGGCTGCTGCCTTCTCAGAGGACAGCCCACGGACAGGCAGCCCCCACCCCGCCACAGACAGAACTTCAGGGCTCAGTTTTGTTACCTCCACCTGAGTCAGATTTGAAGGTTTTATAGGTGCATCATTTGTGTTTGGTTTTTTAGTGAGAACTGATGCAAAGGATGTGGTTGAGTTCACGTCCTGGCTTCTGCCCCACGTCGTCTTTAGGGGCTACGGGTTGAGTTCACATCCTGGCTTCTGTCCCACATCCATGTGACTTTGGGCAGGACATTGAATCAGCCTGAACCCCAGTTTCTTCATCTGTAAAATTGAGAGAGCAATACTTGTGGCATGGAGAGGTTGTGAGAATTAGAGAAAGAGGCACATTTAGAGAACTTGGTTCAATAAATGTGAACTGTTATTACATGCATTTACATTAAGTGCGGAACCTCAAGTTGATCCTGGGTCCTCAGGCTTAGCCATACTGGCTTTGGCTACTATTCATGGTGATGCCACAGGGCCACCGAGAGGAGAGAAGACCCTGAGGCAGACCTCCACTGAGCAGAGAACTTCTCTCTGCCTTTCTGACTGCTTGTCTCTAAAGTGACTGTGTTTAGATTGCTGCTATGAAGACCAGATGATATAGGAGTTGTGAAAGCACTTTGAAAAGTATAGTAACTTCCATAGGAATTGGGGTCATCATCATCATCATCATCATCATCTGACTAGGGATAGATGTTCTGAGATGTTTAGAGCCTCTTAGGTTTTCACCCAGTCCCATTCCACAGATGGGGAAGCTGAGGGGCCAGGGACTATAAGTAACTTGGCTGGGACTGGCTCTACATTTATCTCATTGAGTCAGTGACTTCCTGCCAATAAATTGGGCAGAAACTCTCCTAGGTATCCCAAGGAATAGTTGGGGACCAGTGAAAACAGAGCCCGAAATGGCCTGAGAATCGTCCAAAGTGGGTGGGATCCAGATAAAAGGCCCCAGTGACATGTTCCGTCCATCAACCTGTGAGACTGCTCATGGCCAGTCCGCAGTTAGTTAAGCAGAGCACAATACCACCTGCAGCGAGGGGTCCTGAATTCAGGGGCATCATTTTTTTGTGATGTACCAAAGTGGAAATTAATCCCTAGATTGGTATGGTTGAGTTCCCCATTGCTGGAGGTGTATAGATGGAGGACCACGTGGTAGAATGTGGTAGAGGGGATTCAAGGATTAAGCAGTATTAAGTAGGTCTGACTTTGAACCTAGGATGTTGGATCTAGTTGTCTCTGAGACCTGTGGGTGTGACTTCAGGAACCAAGAGAGAAAAACATCAAGGTCCCGAACCTGGGGACCAGGAGTTAGGAAATGAATCCGTTACATGTCTTGGCTCAGCAGAGTGCTTGGCCCCTATGCTTATTCATCTGTAAAACGGAATCAGTCACCCGATGAACACACTGCTTCACGCAGATGTAAGGAAGAGAACAACAAAGCTCTCTCCTTCCATAAGTAACTATCAAATCTCACTTAAGCCATAAAGCTAGGGTATCATCACTGAGCAAGATGCCATCTTTCTTTCATTCTTTCAACCAAAATGTGTTGAGGGTCATGATATGCCTGGATCCTGGGAGCTAGACAGACGGGAGCATCGTTCCATCTGCATTTTTCTTTCTCCAACTCATGAATGCCATCCCTAGAAGAGTCCTGTGTTTATTGTTGCCTGCATTTGCCATCTCTCAAATGTGTGGGTGGGTCTGTAAGACCTTTCCCTCATAAATAGACCCCTGGGTGTACACACACACACACACACACACACACACACTCACACTCACACCATTGTCTTTGAAATTATCTGATACTTTAAAAAGAGCCATTTCTCTTTCCAATACAAAGCTCTTGTTTTGTTTATTTTGAAGCTGTGGTCAGAAGTTTGAGGTTTGAGGTTTTCCTAAGAGCATAAAATCATCATGAAGATGCCGAGGGCATATGAGGAGAGAGGAGGGGTGGGGAGAGCTATTTGTCTAACTGCAAATTGTACTTTTTAGCAGTTTCCCCTGAGGTCTGAGACTTGGTTGAGTTCATCCCCTTGACATCAAAAGACAAGAGTTCAGGATACAGAGGGTTGCTTCATGTCTGAGGCCAGGGAACCAATGGGAAAAAGTAATAATAAATTGCTTTTATAGAAAAAATGCGTGGCCACCTTTGAGCTCCTCCAAAGAAAGGAAAGGGTGGCTTTGGCGGTGTGGACTGAGGTGGGCCCCGAGGAGCCTCTCCGGAGCCTCCCCTGTGTATTCTCGATAACGGCAGGTCGCAACGCTCAGGGGAGAGGAATAAAAATGTTTTTGTTCATCTGTCTGTCTGTCTGCCAAGTGAAGGCTTATAGACCCTATCAAATCTACTCCTTTCTCTTTTTTCAGAATTCAACCAGACAGTCCAGAGTTCTGGAAATATGACAGACAAAAGCAGTCAGGATCAGCTGCTGTTTCTCTTTCCAGAGTTCAGTCAACAGAGCCAGGGGCCTGGGCAGTCCGATGATGCCTGCTCTGAGCCCCCCAACAAGAAGATGCGTCGCAACCGGTTCAAATGGGGGCCCGCATCCCAACAAATCTTGTACCAGGCCTACGATCGGCAAAAGAACCCCAGCAAGGAAGAGAGGGAAGCCTTAGTGGAGGAGTGCAACAGGTAACGCCACCACCGGAAGCTCCCTGGAGCAGGCGGGCAGACACACGGACCTGAGACCTATCCCCTGGGTCCTGGGATATTGAGACACTGGTTACCCAGATAAGTGTGGCACAACGAGGGCCCCCCAAAGCATGTTCCACGGAACTGTAATTTCAAGTTCTTTTTTTAAATACATTTTATTGACTTTTTTTTTTTTTTTACAAAGAGAAAGGGAGAGGTTTAGAGAGTTAGAAACATCGATGAGAGAGAAAAACATCAACCAGCTGCCTCCTGCACACCCCCTACTGGGGGATGTGCCCGAAACCAAGGTATATGTCCTTTACTGGAATTGAACCTGGGACCCTTAGTCCACAGGTTGACGCTCCATCCACTAAGCCAAACTGGTTAGGGCATCAAGTCCTTAATAAATAAATTGGAGGACCATCATAAGCATACTTCTTTGTAGGCAGTCATAAAGGCTCTGTGTCATAAAGGTCCTGTAGTCAAGAAACCCACTTAGCTTTGTTGAATCGGTTGTGAACCATGGGATCTTTTCTCCTGGGGACTCCCTGTGTGAACTGTTATTCCAGGGAGGACACTCTGGAGAGTGCTGGTCTAGCATATGGTGCCAGTGAAATGGGACTCACGTGTTTGACCTTCGTATAGACCAGGGGAAAACTGTCCACGAGTCCCAGGCTGACTGTCCTCAACCAGCTGCATATCCATTGGTCCCAAAGGAGACTTGGGTCTGTTCAGTGCACTCTACCCATACTGATTAGAGCTCTTTTATGTATCTTAACAACTACATGTAATTTTAAAGAAAACTGGTAGATATCCTTGAGATATCTTTTTGTTTCATTCCTGCCTCCATCATCCCTTACTCCAACGGTGACTTTAAAAGAGAATTTTTTTTTTTTTTTTTTTTTTTTTTGGTTTCAGGGAGGAAGGGAGAGGGAGGGAGATAGATAGAAACGTCAGTGATGAGAGAATCATTGATTGGCTGCCTCTTGCACGCTCCCACTGGGGATCAGGCCCACAACCCTGACCAGGAATCGAACTGCGACCTCCTGTTTCATAGGTTGACGCTCAACCACTGAGCACCACTGGCCACCCGTCCAACAGTGACTTTTTAAACATTCTGTTCTTGGCTCTGGGCTTTCTCTGTGTTTGGCTGGATTGGCTCTTATGGCTCTGATGGTGAGGGAGGACAGGTCAGAAAATAGCAAGGCGGAGCGGTCAGCTATGCATGTCACAGAGTCCTCACATGACATCTAAGAATCTCTCTCAAATCTGCTTCTTTTCACTCTTAAAGTGAAAATAAAGGGTCTGGCTTCCCCTGGCACTCTTTTGGGGGTATCCAAACCCCCAAAGGCCAGAATTCCTTTAGAGTGCTGTGAAGGGACTCGGAGAGCCAGTGAAGGACTTTGCCTTTTGCAGGGCGGGAAGAGCAGCAATTTAAGGAGGTGTCAAGAAACCCACTGAGCTTTGTTGCCTGGCCCCAGCTTCCTCTCTTCTTACCGGAGCCTTGTCAGAGGCTGAGCCCCTGGCTTCCAGGCAGCAGAGCTTGTTTGGTTCTGTGTTCAGCCCATTGCAGCCATCTCAGCAGAGAACTACGTGGGCAACTTTTTCTCTGGACAGGTTTTCCCCAGGCTTCTGCTCCTCACCAAAACCATTGGGGTTATGTGTTTGGGGCCAAGCAGAGCCAGCCTCCCCCGGCCACCCTCGCTCACCATCTCCCCCCTCTCCATTCTCAGGGCGGAATGTTTGCAGCGAGGCGTCTCCCCCTCCAAAGCCCACGGCCTGGGCTCCAACCTGGTCACCGAGGTTCGCGTCTACAACTGGTTTGCCAACCGCAGGAAAGAGGAAGCGTTCCGGCAGAAGCTGGCCATGGATGCCTACAGCTCCAACCAGACGCACAGCCTGAACCCCCTGCTCTCCCACGGCTCCCCCCACCACCAGCCCAGTGCCTCTCCGCCCAACAAGCTGTCAGGTAGGCAGGCCCCGGACCCTACGGCCTGGGCCATCCGACCGACCCGTCTGCTTCTCCCCAAGGTCTCATCTGGCTCAAGGTTTTTCAGAGGGAAAAAATGCTCTGGGATGGCCCAACAGCTGGCCCCCTCCTGTTGCCAGAATATATGCTCGTGAAAGGAGTGTGTGGCGGTGGTCAGAGTTCCTCCTGAGTCCTTGCTCCGCCTTCAGAGAGTCCTTTGGCCCGTTCTTCTCTGGTCCCGTTTCCTCTCCCTCTGTGGCTGATGACTCAGCTAGTCAGGGCTGCCATCAGATCAGACCGAGAAGCCTACCCGATTGGTGTGCTAGGTGCAAGCCACAGGCAGAAAGGTCGCCTGTCTGTAGCCTGTCAGGGCTCTGTCCAGCTCCAGCAGGAGGCGCCCTGGGAAAGGGCCACTCTGTGGGCAGCCTCTGCTTGTTGGTTCAGTGTTCTGCCAGAGTTAGGGTGGAGTCACTTGTAATATTTGCAGTGATGAGTTGGCAAAAAAAAACAACGTGAGTACCTGCCGTGTGTGTCTGTGTGCCAGGCCCTGGCCTGGGTTAGGATGCCTATGCTGTGGGGTATGGGCTATGTCAGGATGGAACCCCACATCCCCATGGTGGGAAAGCACCCCTCTATGCTGCGTGTTGTTGCATCAGGCATAGGCTGGGGTATTTCCCCCCGGGGGTTCGTCCTTGCAGGAAAGCTGGCTTCCTGGGATGGGTGTGCTTATCCAGGCCGGTTTGATGGTTGTGTATAGACAAAGTGTGTGATGGTCCCCTGCCTGCTCTGGGATAGGACTCGTGAAAGGAGAGCCAAGCACCATCTGTAACCTGGGAGTGGCCCTGAAACCCATTCCTGCCCTGGCCTGCTGGTTGCCCTTCTGCTGGGAGAGGCCGGAGATGTGGACCTAAGTGTTGTGTGTGGGGGGAGGAAGGGGGAGTGCAGGCTCAGAGCAACCAGCTGGGTGGTATCCCAGCATTTGTTTCACACTGTACCCTCCCATAGCATGACCTGTCCCGGGGTCTCTGGGAGCCTGCCGCTGTCCAGTGTAAAGCCCAGGCCAGGACTCCGAACTTCTCCGGACCCAGATCACACAGAAGGAAGGGCTCAGCCACATGGGGAGAAAGATTGGTCAGTGAAGCCCCCAGACCAACACTGGCCTGATTGCAGAGTAACTTAGCCCCTTTATGGCAATTCAGAGCAGGGTTCAGAGGACGGTGGCAAACGGCTTGTGGCCGGCACCGGCACGGACAGCACCAGAGCGCTGCTGACCGCAGTGATCCATGGAGCTGGGAGCTGCGGGGGGGCGTGGCTGGGGCAAGGGGCATTAGTGAGAAGACAATGGCTATTGTCCTGGGACTTGTGATCTCCACACCAAAGTCAGGGAGCCTGCAAGCCAAACAAAGGCCCAGCAGCTTTCTGACAAGCTGGGGTTGTGGTGAGGTCACCACGGAGTCCTTAGCTCGGGCGTTCTGTGTATTGACAGGAGGCCCAGGGAGGTGGGCGGGAGGGATGGCAGCAGGTCCTGGAGACCAGGCAGGGCCCAGACCCCCCTCTGGTCATTCTGAGAAGGTGCATCCTAATGGAAGTGGATTTTCTGGGATCCCCAGAAATCTTGACCTTTAAAAAAAAAAAAATCTTGAGATATTAAACCTGGAAGGGACGTTGAAGAAGGAAACTGAGGCTGCTGATTGCCATGCCATGTCTTCCCAGCACAAGTGTGCTCTGAGCACGTACCACGTCCCAGCACCGTGCTAGCGATGCGGAAGCCACATGGCCCTGCCCTGGCGAGCTTATGAACTAGTTGGAAGGCATCATGCCAGCGTGGAGCCCCCAGAACTAGCTTGGAATGGAGGTCATCTTCGGGGGTTCATGCGTCTTTCTAGGGACAGGCTGCTATCTGTAGAGCCAGAACCGTGGGATGCTGTTCTCTTGTCCTGTCTGCCTTTCCCTCCGCCTTAATTTTCACTGAGGGCTGATCAAGCTAGTCCTTGTCCACACGCGGGGACTGGATTCTCTGGACTTGGTTTTGAGTCCTGGTGCTAATCAACCACGTTAATTCCCATAACTACGGCGTGGCCAGTTCACATAACGTCTTTGAGCCTGACTTTACTGCCTGTAAAACGGAGAGAATAGTGCCTACCTCTTAGGGTCCACTTGCGGATTAAATGAGAAAATGTATAAATGCTATCTTTCCCAGGAACCCATAACTACTGCCATTATCATTATCATCACAGACAACTAAACCAGCGGGGGAAAACGATAGGCAGCAGGAAGCTATTTCCTTTTATATTTCACACACCGGGCGGGGCCTTATTGCTGAGAGGCAGTGGGATGTAGCCTGGGCTGGGCCGGTGCCTGGGGTGCAGGCAGCGGGGATCAGTTCCAGTGTCCCCCCTCTCAGGCTGCCAGGGCAGGCGGCACAGGAGCTGTGACAGGCTCTCGGGAGAGCACCTGGGGCCGGGCAGACACAGGCCTTAGCCCAGGGCTCAGGGAAGGCTTTGGTCCGGCAGAGCCTCATGTCTTTCCTTCCCGTCACAGTCCCCACGACCAAGGTGAGGTCTCTTGGACTCCAACCAGGTCCAAACTGTAACTGGATGTGGTGGCTGAGGAGAAACCAGCATCCAGCGTCAGCACTAGCAACCTCTCAGGCTGAGCTGTGAAGACAAGACCCCAGGCCCCCTCTCCTCGTTCCCCTCCAAACACCAGCATCTGAGCCAGGAGGACTGGAGGCACCTTAGAGACACATCTTTCCCTTCAGGCCTCTTCCCGGAAAGGAGGGCATCCCTTCGCCCACCGAGCCCCTTCCCTCCCGGCCACGCTGTGGCCCACTCGCCCACGATGACCACGGTGTGACCCTGGCCCTGGAATGTCCCGCACAATGGGAGCGGCAGGAGGAGCGCTTTGCCTCTGTCAGCGGCTGATTGGTTACAAGGTGCCCTACAAACACCCTGTCAGCAGAATCAGCTGTTTTCGGCGCGGCCCCTCCCGGCTTTACAATCACACAGCAGCATGCAGCCCCCGGTTGTCATGGCTTTGTGTCCCTTCTGCATGCTTAATTGACAATTACGCTGGGGCTTTGAACCAGCCTGGCTGCCGCTGATGGGCCTTCATCTTTCCAGGGAGTGTCACAGGGGCACCCTTTGTTTGCTCTTCTTGGGGGCCTGGAGTTACTGTAGCCCGGCTGCAGGCGGCCATTTGTCTTCAGCCTGGAAAGCCTTTATCTGCACCCCCACCCCCCATCCCACCTCTTGCCAGCAGGAGCTGTCCCTGGTTATAGGCCCCATGACAGCCCATTCTGAGGCCATTGAGCTGCCCGGAGTGATGGCCCCTGCCTCCCTTCTGGAGTGGAATCAGGAGAAAGGCCCCCAAAGGTCAGAGAGCAGGGCCGTGGCGAGGAAGAGGACTGGTTGGAGACTGGTGCTTGTATTGATCGGCTTGCGGAGGAGGAGGAGGAAGTTGGCATGGGATGGAAGCCGGCTAGCCTTCGGCCAAGCATGGTGGCCTTGCTTCTCTGTACCCTTTGCTCCGATCTGCAGCGGACTCATCCAGCCACCCTCAGCAAACTCACCCAGCCACCTTCAGCAGCCTCACCTCACAGCAAAGGAGGGGCAGGCCTTCACCGGCCTTCCTTCACCCACTCACACTGTCTTCATTCTTATGGCACCTTTCCAGATGGAGATCGGGGCTCACTCTCCTGGAAAGAAAAGCGGGCACAGGGGAGAGCTACCCTGGAGCTGCGTCTTTACTAAGAGGAGATGTTCATTTTTGTGGCTGCTTACTCCTCCCTCCCTCTCTGTACTCTAGTCCTCTCTCTCCAAGCCCGGTGGACTTGATTGTCCTGATGGTCAGATCAGAGCTTGGAACCAGAGCATCCTGCCTCCTCCTCATCCCCTTTCACATCTCCTCAGTCATCGGCAGGAATCTAACCCTGGATGCCAGACAAGCCTTACTCTGGGCGAGGGGATCTGTATGGTTGCTATCATTTTCTTGATGCTGAAGTCCACAGGACCCAAGGAAATCTCAAAAGTGCCCAGTGGCAGGGTTGTAACATAACAGCTAGTGTTGATTGAGTACTCAGGCTCTGGGCTACATACATGCAGCATGTTCGACAACAACCCTGATGTGTAGAAACCACCTGTTTCCTCATCCCCATTTTACAACCAGGGAAGGTAAGAAGTTTAGAATCTAAGTGATTTGCCCAATTTTTTATAGTTAGTAAGTGGCAGAGATAGGTTTTGAGTTGTCAGGCCCTGTCTATCTCTCTTTGCTTTATACAGATGCTGAGAACTTTCCAGTCACAAAAACCATCTCTCTCTCTCTCTCCCTCCCCTCCCTCTCTCTCTCTCCCTCCCTCTCCCTCTCTCTCTCTCCCTCCCTCCCTCCCTCTCTTTCTCTCTCTCTCTCTCTCTCTCTCTCTCTCTCTCTCTCTCTCTCTCTCTCCCCACATACACACACACACACACACACACACACCCTTCTCCCACTTTCTTACTGCTCCCCCCTTAATGACAAAGAGGCTTTGGGAGAGCATGGCCAAAGAGTTGGGGTTAGGGTGGGGGGGTCTCTCAATCTGGCTAGTTTACTGCTCCCACCCACCCACCCAGCTGCTGCCCCTGACCGAGGTGGATGCGTGTCCCGCCCAGGGAAGGAACAAAGCCCTCTCTTTCAGGACCCGTCCCTGTCGGGGTGGGGATTTGAACTGCCCTTGCAGTCAGCAACGTCTGGGGCACTAAATGTCTTAACAACTTAATGAGACTTCTTAGACAGTGCAGGCACCTCAGCTCACCTCTGGAGCCCCACCCCCTCCCTGCGCAGCAGTCAAGAGGAGGGGGTTTATGAGGGCAGTTGTAAAAATATTCATCTCGGCAACAAATGTCCCCCTGTAGTATAATAAATAAGCCCCTTTGTCCCTAAGTAGCAGATTATTTCAGCTCAGAAGAAAAACAAATCTTGTCTTGAAACGTCTGCTATTTTAGGACACCCTTTTGTACTGAGTT